TGATGTGGAATATGAGGTGTTATCCCTCCAGTTTGCATCTGGCATCATTGTGGCACTGGAGGAGGCCCAGGATGGACATGTCACCCAGGGAGTGGAAGGGGGAGTTAAAATGGTTAGCAATCAGAAGGTGTTATTGATTATAGTATACAGAGTGCAGATGCTCCGCGAATCGGTCACCGAGTCTGCGCTTGGTCTCACCAATGTAGAGAAGGCCACACTGGGAGCAACGGATACAGTCGACCAGTTTGGTGGATGTACAGGTGAACCCCTGTTGGATATGGAAAGTTTGTTTTGGGCTTTGGATGGATGTGAGAGGGGAGGTGTAGGGGTATGTGTAGCACGTCCCATGATTTGCAGGGAAAGGTGCTGGATGTGGTGGGGTCATACTCTTTCATTATTGACTCTTCAACTGAGAGAAATAACTACATCCTATCCACCTATCCATAACCCTCATAATTTTATACACCTTAATCAGGTTCCCTCTCAGCCTTTGCTCCAAAAAAAAACTTGAGTATATGCAGCCTTTCTTCACAGGCACCTAGGAACATTTGATTCACTTAATGGAATATAAATGGAAATTGTTGTTGCATAGTCCAATAGTATTGTTCAGCTAGACGTTATTCATCCCTCATATTGCCATGTATATGCTTTCCAGCATAAACACTTTTTGTGAAATAGATCTTTTTCAAAACAGCAACTGCTCAGTGCATGCAAAATAGGGCAGATATACTGCATTTCCGCTTTCAGATTTTTGACAACTTGATTCCCGCTTGACTTCAGAAAATGAGTGTTAACATGATGTTATTTCCCCAAAATAGCCCTCAGCAAAAACAGAAAGATCCCTGTGTCGGTGGCATTTTGTCCTTTTGTCATCCTTACTTTGGTCTCAATCATGTAGCTTGCCAATTTTGGGTATCTGTCACTTACAAAGAAGGCTATTGGAAATTCTATAGGAATAATTGTACCAAAGATATTAATATTGCTTACTGTTGACTGAACAACAGATTTCTGTGGCATGGTAAGTGAACTTCAAAATATTCACAGCTTGTACACAAAACAAGATGGCTACCCAATATTAATGAGGAGGGTGGAGGGGAGGCTGGGAATGGTCCATCAACTTTGAATTTGATGATGAAACATCAAGACATCATTATAATTTACTTTTACATCTCCCACCTGGCAGCCAGCCAAAGGTGCTGCATAGGAAAATCATTGACAGGAAGTCAGTGCCAGGGAGTCCTCAGCAATTGGGAGAGAGATGGATGGGAATAGCCATTATTGGCACCACAGTGAGAGAAAGGCACTGTTTCGTGGCGAATGGGATGTTGGTGGGGAAGAGGCTGCAATTGACAGTGGAGGAGACAGAGTTTGTCTTGAGGGTTCCAGGGAAGCATTCCAGTTTCTGGAAAAAGCACTTAACTTTATATAGCAATCATTCCCATCTCCCTTTCACAGCTGAATTTTCTGACCATGAAATACTCATTTTGTAACAGTAACATTTAATACAGGCTCCCAATTACTCTGTGGAGGTAGCTATTTAAATATGAAACCTCCAGAGAAGCAAGACAGCAACAGTTCATTGTTTTGTGAAATACATTAGTTTGATCCTCCAGCTTTGGAAAAATTGTTTCACCAGGAATGAAACTACCAGCTTTGTATATGGCTATAAACTTGAATCTCATTTCTAGGTCTGTTCCACTGAGAAATAAAATGGAGGTATTCAGCGTTAAAATCAATAGAGGGGGATATTCAAATTTAATAGGGATGATAGTAGATTGATTGACAATGCACGGTGCACTTGGGCTGACCTACCAATACAACGGGAAGGTACTCAAATCTCAATTATGAATGCCATTGTGATTGGCATTTTGTGAATTCAAAAATACTTTTACCAATAATTTTATATGAATCAACAAACCAGATGGTTTAAAATTAAGTGCTGGCTCATGTGATATGAAATTTAGTCTAATGACTTGTAGGAAAGTCTGTGTCCTCCAGTCTTGATTGAGCCAGGTTTCTTCCGATCATACATGGAATTACGAGTTCTGGTCATAAAACCATTGGAACCACGACTCGGGTTTCAATGCCAAAAGAAAATTAAGCCAAGCTGAGGTTAACGTGCTGCTGGTAATGAGTACTGAACATAATAACCAGTTTACAAGCAGAATGAAGCAGCACATCCAAATTGGAACTGGATAATTCCAATTGGCTTGAGTTGCCCACATGCGAATTTTAAAATTCAACTCTTGCCACTGGTTGCTGACAGACAAAAGAAAAGGGTGTAAGAGATTATTCTAGATTGACGTTTTGATGTTGTGTGATATGTTCCAGATTGGAAGCAAAATTTAATGTTTCAGATTAGCAGAACAGGCTGATACCTGTGGCATAGCAGGAATTAGTTAGGTTTAATCTGGTTGTTTGCTGATGAAGGATAGAAAATTTGATCTTTGACAGAATATTGTGGTGTTACAGTGTAGCACGGTAAGGTAGGAGCTAACTAAAAATATTATTTCCAGGATCACACTCTCTTCACAGCAGAATAAATTTTATTTCAGATGAAATACAAGACCTCATCTACCACATTTGCAATTCATTACCGAATTAATTGATTTTTTTCTCCCTGTTGTTATTAATACAAGATGTTGTTCCTTGAACGCATGCTGGATTAATCTTTCAAGAAGAAGGAGGGGAAAGAAAGCTTCAAATGAGTCATTTTTTCCAGTCCTGCCTAATTTAAAACTTGCTTAGAATCCTAAACAAAAGCTTCCATGCTGGTATTTTGCAGCTTAGCTCCATGGTGTCTGGTTTCAGGCAACAATGCCAAGGTCATAATTTTCGGCCGCTGACAGGGCCCCCAGATGTCTTTGGTAAAATTAATCGCAGTTTGCCCGAAGGTCACCAGCAAGTAATCCATCAGGAAGTAATTTTAAATCACACTCCATGGCAAAAAACAAAAAGTAGCCATTTTAGCCCAGTTCATGCAGAGGTAACATAAAAGCAAATTCGGCTCTCTTTTCCCTGCAGCTGGCAAGGGTGTAGCTTGTACTTATGATAACATTTCCATGCCAAAGATTTTGAGGAACATGAAAATTTTATTCCCTTTGGTGATCATATTTGCATTTAATTTTTTTTTGGAAAAATTAGAATTTCCTACTGTTTTTAATTCTAGCAAATGTAATTAAAATGTAATACAACAGTTCTAAGAATTAAAATCACTTATCTGTGTGCCAAGATAATCTGGTTTTTCCCTGTCTGAGGCAAATTTATGTTTCAGTTTTTTAAACACAATCTGCTGTTGGCAATTGTTGTAACATGAACCCTGCTCTGAAATTCAGCTTTAAGCTGTCTGACTCATGACTCTCCTGTGAGAATTTATGTAATTTTGTACTTCCTTTACACATTGGGAATCAGAAATCTTTGCCATTTATTAGAAATGTACACCAAGGGTACTAAGGCTGAAAACCGGAGTTTGCAATTCTTCAGAAAACTACTTTGTAAGTTCAGTATCTTCCTTTCTGCAGCATACTGGATCTTGCTCAGTTTGGCAAAATCATGAAGACCCAATATTGGCTTTGGGAAATTCACTTTGTCCATATAGATTTAATCCCACAGTTTAATAGTCTACCTTTGCCTTGTTTAATTGCATTCAGTAGAATAAAGCTGACCAAGAAATTCAATTTGAATTTCTGAAGAAGGGCTCCAACCTGAAACGTTAACTTTCCTGTTCCTCTGATGCTGCCTGGCCTGCTGTGTTCCTCCAGCTCCATACTGTGTTGTCCCTGTCGCCAGCATCTGTAGTTCCTGCTATCTCCAAGAAATTCAATCACTACCTTTCCATATTATAAATAAGCCAAGTCACCTAATTACAACTAGTTAATTAAGATTAAACCTGTCTTCAGTGCCAATTGAACAGTTTTCTACATTAGGTAGCAGACTAATTTGTCATGTTCTGTGGGGTCTACCAGGGATCATCACTGGACACAAGCGAGTGGTTGGTGGGGTTTGCAGGAAAGGGCAAGGTTTGGGGAGGGATGGCTTTCAGCAGTGCATCCCTTCTTCCTGATAGGCTTTTCTGGGTGGCCATCATACGGCACAGGAGAGTCATGCCACTCAAACAGATATTGAGCTGTGCCAATCTTTCAGCCACTGATAAACTTCATTAGGCTTAGGGATTGATGTTGAGTGGCTCATGAATAAGCCTAACCATCGTCTAGCCATGAGTAAATTATTAATCGCAGGAGACTTTCCTGTCGCCATTGGACTGATGACATTGCCTCCTCCTTGATTTAGTGGCTTTGACAACCATGTTTCCTGTTGTGACAGGAATTGGGAGCTCCATTGATCCCAGATGTCACTGTCCCAATACCTGCCCTGGAAGTTTACGTTGCTGATCCATTGAGTGCGCTATTGATTTACAGGGATGTAGTGGTGCAGTGGTAATATCAATGGTCTAGTAATTCAGAACCATAGGTTAGCATTCTTGGTACAAGGGATCAGATCTACTATAAGGAGTGGTGAAATTTGAATTCAATAAAAATCTGAAATGAAAAAGCTTCAATGCTTGTTAATATGGGTCATGTCTGTTTATGAAGTGCGCCTGAACAATACTGTTTGAGTGCAATTGCCATATGAAACATCAGCTGGACTTTTGGCACTTTCAACCATGTTATAGGTGAGTCTGCTTGTTAATTCCAGCAAATGTTTACATATACACTGAACAATGTTTTGTTTATTTCATGGGTTTGTTTTATATCGCTGCAGTTATTAAATTCATTGTGTTGAAGTCTAAAGGAGTTGTCACAAGAAGAACATTGATTGTTGATTGTCAAGAGATTTAATTTACTTAAAATCAGAAGTCTGAATGCAAGAGAAATTAAACTGTTCATTTAATTGTATCAAAATAGTTAATGATCAGTGAGACTCTTCATCTTCTGTTTTTGTTCATTTTGAAATCTGCTGTGCTGATTTTCATCTGAAAATTGGCAAGCTTGCTACTCAATACAATTCTCAGAACATTTACAATATCTGTCACTCCCACGAGGTTTTGTTCTGTGTCTTTTCCAGATGCACAGAGCTGTACAGTTTAGGCAGAGCATCCAGTGCATTTAGCTTGTAATGTTGTTTCCTCTTGCTTCTTCTCTATTTCACCATCAAACCCACCAGAGAAAAGATAGTAATGAGAAAATGTGAAAAGAATTGATACTTTATTATCTTGCAGTGTTCCAAACCATGGGCTCAAGTACAAGAGGTACAGTGTACCACTTTATTTCGCATTATGAAATGTACTTTCTGTTATTTAAACATGGAACACAGCAGCAAATTTCCATATCCTGCGGACCCACTAACAGAAAATAAGATAAATAATCGATTGGCTCCAATTTTGGGAGGTGTCATTGGTTGAGGTAGAAAGTTGACAGTGTCGTCAGGATGCAACATGAAATTTAAACACAGATGGCACAAAGGTTGTGCTGAGTTCCACCTCTAATTTTCTTCTCGGCTACGCAGGTCATCGAGTCCAGTGTGCAGTAGCATCTTCCAGAACCGGACATCAATGCCCCTGTCGGTGAGCCGATGCTCACTGCTGTGCACAGAACCTTGGAGCGGCTGGACAAGTGTGCAGCCATGTTGTTTTGAGGGACCATTGGCTATAAAGCAGAGATCCTTTATTCCACTGACGTAAGGTCTTTACAAACACGAATGGTCATGAAGGCTGAATGAGGAAACACACACATACATAGAATTAAGTTTGTAGTTCATATCTAGTTGAGAAAATGTTTTCTTCCCCCACTGGCCAGGCTAGAATTTCATGTCCATCCCTCACTACATTTGAACTGAGTCTCTCTGTCAAGTCATTGTGGACAGCTTTTGGCTGCCCCTTGATTTGAGGATGACATCTAGTCAGGTTTGTTGACTTGCTCGCCGAGCTGACTTGTCTTCGTTCAGACGTTTCATCACCATGCTAGGTGACATCATCAGTGAGGCGTCCGATGAAACAATGCTGTTCTACTCCACTTGGAATTTATCCTGTCCTGTCCGATGTGGTGAGTAATGCCATTTTCCAGTTTTGATCTGTCTGGGTTTGTATATGGGGTCCAATTCTGTATGTTTGTTGATTGCATTACGGGGGAGAATCATGCCTCTAGGAATTCCCGTGTGTGTCTATGTTTGGCTTTGGCTACTATTTGTCCCAGTTAAACTGATGGCCTTCATTGTCTGAGTGTACTGATGTTAAAGACAGTTCATCGTCCTGTTTTGCTGCTAGCTGATGTTCAAGTATTCTGATAGCTAGTTTCCTTCCTGTCCGATGTAATGTTTGTGGCAGTTGTTGCATGGTATTTTGTAAACCACGTTGGTTCTGTATGTTGTGGGGATGGGGTCTTTAATCCTTGTCAGTGTTTGTTGTGGAGTGGCTGTGGGCTTATGTGGTCGTAGGAGTCTTGTTGTTAGTTCTGATATGTTCTTGATGTAGGGCAGTGTGGCCAGTGTGTTAGGGCATACTGTGTTCTCCTGTTGTTGTCTGTTTAGTAGGCCTCTGCGGATGAAGTAGCAAGGATATCCATTCATAGCAAAGATTTTGTATAGGTGTTCTTCCTCTTTCCTGTGTAGTTCCGGAGTGTTGCAGTTTGTCGTGGCCCATTTAAATAGTGTCCTAATGCAGCTTTGTTTGTGGACGTTGGGGTGGTTGCTGTGGGAGTTGAGGATTTAACCAGTGTGGGTTGCTTTTCTGTATACTGAGGTTTGGAATTCCTCATTGGTCTTACGCTCAACTCTAACATCCAGAAATGGAAGTTGATTGTTGTTTTCTTCTTCCTTTGTGAATTTAATCCCTGCGAATACATTATTGATGAAGTGGTGGGTCTCTGACGATTTGTTGAGTTTAATAATGACAACTGTGTCACCTATGTACCGGATCCACAGCTTCAGTTGAATACTGGGGTGGGTGGTGTGTTCTAGTCTTTGCATGACTGCTTCTGCAATGAGTCCTGAGATGGAAACTAGCCATTATAATACATGAACATCAGCTAGCAGCAAAACGGCACGACAAACTTTCCTTCACATCAGTACACTCAGACAATGAAGGCCATCAGTTTAACTGGGACAACATAACCATAGTAGCCCAAGCCAAAAATAGACATGCACGGGAATTCCTAGAGACATGATTCTCCACCCGTAATGCAATCAACAAACATATAGAATTGGACCCCATATACAAACCTATACATATCAAAACTGGAAATGACACTACTCACCGTAACGGACCACACAGTATAAGTTCCAAGCGGGGTAGAACAACATTGTTTCATTGGATGTCTCACTGATGATGTCACCTAGCATGGTGACAAAATGTCTGAACGAAAACAAGCCAGCTCAGCGAGCAAGTCAACAACCTCACCCACAACCCGAGCTACAGATCCTTGCTAAAACTTTAAACAAACTAGTCAGAGTCACAAGTTGTTGCTATGTGCCTTCTTGTGATTTATCATCCTGATTCTCAACCTGCAGACCTGCAATGTGGTAGAATGGCCCATGAGGCAGTGCACAATTTGCTTTCTCTCTATCACTTCTGCTGCTCTGCCTCATTAGGAAGGCATTTGGCCTTGAGGTGTTATGCTACCTGATGGATAGGTTATTGTCTCCATGAGGCCTCTCCCTGTCAAAGATGCCCTTTTCTCTAGTGAGATCCCACTCAACTTCTCAGGCTCCCTTCCCGGTGACCTCTCTCACCATTAACATGTGCTGCTGAAGGCCCTGTTGCACAGGAATGAAAAACCCCTGTGGGGATTTATTTCTAATATATGTATGAAAAAGTTTAGCAAGAACAATTGCTTACAATAACTGATGCTGCTTGACTAACTGACTGAGAAAAGCATCTCTGTTGTTTATACAAAATTGTTCCTTTCACAATGCTCTATCATTTATTTGTAATTTTTACTTTTATGTGAAAACATAAATTTATTGAAGTGATAGCAATTGAAAACTGAGTAAATTCAGTAATTGAAGAGAAATTCAAACAATACGTTTCTATCTGCCAGTATTTTAAGTGATAAATTCCATATTTGATTAGTTGTCCAATCACACTTATTCTTGTTCCTTACACTGGTTATTTCCAGTAATGGGTGTTTATCTGATGATTTAGCAAATAGGAAACTATTAGCAAGAGTACTTTCTGATGAGGAATTGAGCCATGCAAATCAAAATGTGATCAGTTCAGTTCCTGGCTTGTGCTAACTGGATGATCTTTGCCATCAAGGTATTAAAATATGCCTCGATTTTCCCTCAGTTAAAAAAAGGAAAGGCCAATTAGCTTGGCAGCACAGTGACTCAGTGGTTAGCACTGCTGCCTCACAGCACCAGGGACCTAGGTTCAATTCCACCCTCAGGCAACTGTCTGTCTGGAGTTTGCACGTTCTCCCCGTATCTGCATGGGTTTCCTCTGGGTGCTCTGGTTTCCTCCCACGGTCTAAAGATGTGCAGGCTAGGTGGATTGGCCATGCTAAATTGCCCAAAGTATTCAGGGATGTGTAGATTAGGTGGGTTTTTGGCAAATGGGTCTGGGTGGGATGCTCTGTGGGTCAGTGTGGATTTGTTGGCCAAAGGGCCTGTTTCCACACTGTAGGAATTCTATGATATTTATCATCCACATTTCATCTAGGTGTTTCCATTTCGTCTAATTTATCTGAAATGACAATGTGTGGTGCTCAGTCGAAAGGCTTAAAATTGTGAATGAAAGCGAAACATGTGCATTTTATTTTGTGAAAACTCTAAAAAATATCATGACATCTTCATTCTTTCTTACCTATAGAAAAATTAACTTGTATTCATTTTTAACTGAAGCACATTCAATTTTTCTATTTTTTTCCTAAGAATTTGTACTCAAGAATCTGTGCCTAGGTACCTAAGATGGTGCCTAAGATTGATAAGTGGCAACTTGTAAACTTTTCACTGAACTCACGTGAGTACATGTAACAATGAAGCTAATTCAATTCAATTCAATATATCTGTTTTGAGGCCTGAGGAAACAACTTAGCAAACGCTGAAATCAGTAAATCAGTTCAATAGTTTCCCAGCGCTCTTGGATTCCCCTTCTTGTATACAGAATGTAAAAATGGACATTAGAGCAACAAGTGTACGCAGAACTCCAACAGAATTCTCTTTGGTAGAATAGAACTTGAATATTGTTGACAAGAGAGACATGACATGGAAGCTTTTCATCTTGCATTCATCAGGTTAAGTGCAAAAATGCCCAATTTCAAATCGTCACAACAATTTACACTACAGTCAAAAAAATCACTGCAAGTTCCTGGATAATTCAAAATATGCACCATATTCAAACATATTCCTTTTGTTTGCAGAGACTGTGTCCTGTGTGTGAATGTGAGCTGCTTCAGGCAAATGTAAATAAACTGGGGGCTTGAGGATCCAATAGTTCTCTGCCGCTTTTTTATAGTGGCAATCCATTGATCAATCAGAGTCAATTTACCCGACCAAACAGCACCCTTTTGTGGCATAGATTGTGATCATTTGAAATTTGCAATCTTAAAAAAAAACTTTGTTGCCATTTTTTGTTATTTTTCATTTTGTAAAATGTCCTTTAGCAATATTCAAGAATTCTGTTTGTCAACACTTGAAAAGTAAATATTTGGAAGATGGTTTTGTGACTTTGATCTCTATAAACATGAATGCTACTTTGCCGGACTCAAAATGCCCAAGGGGGCTAGGGAACCTGAATGTTGAACCCACTTAGAAGATGCTCCTAATGCCTGAGTAGCAGTCTGGATACATAACTCCTATTCCAACTGTGTGTTGCCACCTGGCGTCTTTTATGCCCCCTTATCCAGTCCCATAGCAATAGTGTATATGAATGACAATGTACAGCCATAAACCCTTAAGCGATAACTAAATATAGCAGATTGGCAGACTAACAAGATATGTACTATGAGTAACTTATGAAATTAAAAAGTGTAAAATTAATATGATTTGAATTAACAATGAGATTAGCAGCAGGATTTTTTTCAGGCAGCCATTCTGTGTATCTGTTACTACATTATTTCACATTGACATTTAAAATTCTGTCCCAGGGGTTATTGATTGGTCCATACAAGCTGTATTCAATGTTTATTTTGATAATTCTGCAGGTGATCGTGAAAAAACCAACCTTTCTTACGTTTCACTCCCTTCCTACGCTGTTTTGTGGCAGAATAGGAGGGGGAGTATAGCATTACTGGATCAAATTTCCTTCTTCTCAAATATTGTTCAGTCACAGTGATTCAAATCCACTTCAGCTTATCTGTCCTTTCTGCCGCTGGTCCTTTGGAAAAGCTCAATTCTCATGTATGGATGAGTATATAAGCTGTACAATAAAAGGGAAATGTGGTTGAAAATCATTGAACAGCCAACAACTAAAGGATTATTGGCAACAAGAGTGTACATTATTAAATTCTATGAGATGGGATTAAGATAAAGAGTGCTCTGTATCTAAGAAAGAATAGATTAAATCCTTGAAGATAAAAGCTCAAATGTTATTTTGCTTTACAGGTGAAGCAAGTCAGAACTCTTGACATTAAGAGGCAATTTCTCATTTAATTCACTTTTTAAAAAAAAATAAAACTAATGGAACGGTTATTTTATTTAATTCCCTTTTATCCCCTAATGCTGATGTCACACTTTACAGATCATTATCCAGTTTTCATAGCTTTGCCAAACTGGTCATTTCTTGAAATGTGTATTTTGATGATAAATGTTGGCAAGCTGTTAGACTTTAGACAGAGGTACATCAGAGCCAAGTCAGGACTTACCCCAACGTATGAACATGAGAATTAAGAGCAGGACTAGGCTGCTTGGCACTTTGAGTTTGCTCTGTCATTCAACAGGATGTTGGCTGATCTGATTATTCCACATTCCCACCTACCCTAATAACCTTTCACCCCCTTGCTTATCAAAAGTCTATCTATATCTCTGCCTTAAAAATATTCAAGAAAACTGCTTCCACCACCTTTTAAGGAAGAGAGTTACAAAGGCCTACAATCCTCTTTGAGAAAAAATTCCCATTTCTGTCTTAATTGGGCAGCACCTTATTTTTAAGCAGTGACATCTAGTTCTAAAAATCATCTCACAAGAAGAAACATCTTTTCCACATTCATTCTGTCAAAATTCCTCACAATCTTATTTGTTTCAATCTCATTGCCTCTCACCTTTCTAAACTCCAGCAAACACAAGTCTGGTCTATCCAACCTTTCTTCACATGATAACTTTCCTATTCGAAGTGTAAATGCAGTAAATCTTCTCTGAACTTCTTTCAGGGTACTTACATCTTCCTTAAACAAGAAGACCAATACTTTATACAGTTCTCACTGTGACACACAAATACATTATGTAGCACAGGGCATCACCAACAGTTTTCTAGCTTAAAAATAATATCTATATATTTCAAGCAAATTTTACCACCAGCCAATGTTTTGTACACAAATAAGCAACAGGTCAATACAAGAAGAGATTCTTCCAGTTTCCCCTTCTCTGTCTCATCCAGGACACCTTGGTCTGCTCCTTCTCCACTCTCAACACCCACTATAACCCATAGAACCCATGCAATTACAGAAAGTGTGACACATACCTGTTTACTTCCTCCCTTCTCACTATCCAAGGCTCCAGACACACCTTTCAGATGAAGTAGCAATTTATCTGCACTTCACTCAATCTAGTCTTTGCTGCTCACAATGTGCTCTCCAGTACACTGGCGAGACCAAATGCAGACTGAGTGACCATTTTGCTAAATACCTATGTTCTGTCTGTTAAAATGACCCCAAACTTCCAATTGCCTGCCACTTTAACACACCACAGTGTTCCCTGGCCAACAGTTCTTTCTCAAGCCTGCTGCAGTGCTCCAGCGAAGGTCAATGCAAGCTGAAACAACAACACCTCATCTTCTACCTAGGTACCTTATAGCCCTCAGGACTCAACATTGCGTTTAACAATTTCAGAATGTGAACACCTTTCCCCCATGTTGGTTACTGTCCCTGGTTCCTGCGTTGTATAGGTTTCTCCCTGCACATGCAACATATTTTCAATTTTTCACTCATCTTGTAAGCAACCTAACGAGGATTTATCTCTTTCTCAGCCTATCATCAACTATTTGTTTGTTTGCTCTTTTCTCTCTCTCTCTCCAGGCTCCGACTCTGTGTATTCTATTCATTAACACCACACCTCTCTCTCTCTCATCAGGGTAAATATGACCCTTTCCCAGCTATTTTCAACTCTGACAAAGGGTCACCACACTTGAAATATTAACTCTGTTTTTCTGTCTGCAGATGCTGCCAGACCTGCTGTGCTTCTCCAGCACTCTGTTTTTGTAACAGGTCAAATACTTTTCATCAAGAATACCTTTATTTCTTTCTAGAATGATACAATCCCTACAGTGTGGAAACAGGCCCGTTGGCCCAACAAGTCCACACCGAACCTCTGAACATCCCACCCAGATCCATCCCTCTAAAACACATCTAATCTACACATCCCTGAACACTATGGGCAATTTAGCATGGCCAATCCACCTAGCCTGCACATCTTTGGACTGTGGGAGGAAACCAGAGCACCTGCAGGAATCCCATACAGACATGGGGAGAATGTGCAAACTCCACACAGACAGTCACCTGAGGGTGGAATTGAATCCCAGGTCCCCGGCGCTCTGAGGCAGCAGTGCTAACCACTAAGTCACTGTGCCACCCTTAAGTAAGTTAGGTGGATTGGCCATGGGAAATGCAGGGTTACTGGGATAAGGTAGGGGCATGGGTCTGGCTGGGATGCTTTTCAGAGGGCCAGTGCAGAATTGGTGGGCCAACTGGACTGTTTCCACACTGTAGGGGTTCTATGATTATGATTCTATTCAATCTCTCTTCAAAAGACAGCTTTCTCATGCCAGCCATCAAACTAGTGAGCCTTTATACAGTTTTCCAGGCAAGTATGTTCTTCCTTAGGCACAGAGACCAAAACTGCACATAATACTTCATGCATAGTCTCACCAAAATATTGTACAATTACAGCAAAACTTCCTTATTTTTGTACTCCAACTCCTACTACAATAAGGATCAACAAATCATTTACTTATCTAATTGTTGCTAGATCTGCAACTTAACTTTCTGCCTTTGGGGTGTACAAGGAGACCAGCATTTAATATTTTCTCACTGTTTGATAAAAATCTGTTTTCCTATTCTTCCAATGAAAGAAAATAACTTCATACTTCATCCCTAACATACATTCCCTAACTTTATATAATCAGCAAGCTTTGATGCATTACCCTAAGTTCCTTTGTCTGTTGCTAACATAATTTGTAAATAGCTGAGTCGAGTACCAATTCCTGTGGCACCCCATTAGTTACAGCCTGCAAATGTGAAATTTATCCAGTTATTCCTGGTCTCTGCTTTTGTCCTTAGCCAATCTGTAATCAATGCTACTGTTAACCATAACTCCACAGACACTTACCTTCTGTAATAAGCTCTTAACTGTCACCTATTCAAAAAGCCTTTTTAAAATCTAAATATACTATACCTAATTGTTCCACTTTCTCTCCAATGCTGGTTACATCCCAAATATTTCAATAAATTCGTTGAATATGGCTTTCTTTTCAAATAAACCCATGTTGACTCTGCCTAAACACATCACAATGTTCTTAGCACTTTGTTACCACTTCTGTTATAATGGAAACTAGTGTCTCCTGGTGATTGATGACTGATTTAAACTGGTCTTCTAACCCATTGGAACCTTGCTGGAATAAAAGTGAATTGTGAAAGACCACAATCAGTGCATTCAGCATCTCTGCAATTACCTCTTTATAATCAGAGGATATCTATATCTATTGTTAATTCATAAGTTACCTGAAATTAGACTGTTTTTAAAAAAAAGTTTATCTAGAAAACACTGTTTCTCTTCAAAGGTCTTTTTCTGTAGATTTTTTTGAATTCTTGTAGAATATTGTTTTACATATGAAATTTATATGAAGTATGAACACTCTACTGCCCAACATAAGATTTAGACAGGACTAGCAGCTGAGGTTCACCTCTCTAAAGTTGGGGACAGCAAAGGTTATTCTCATTCATTTCACTTGTCTGTATGATAGACACTACTGCAGCTAAAAATCAGTCCTGCTGACTGAGACAAGTAAAGCCAAAACTCATTGAGGATTCCTAGCCTTCTACTAGCTTTCCCAGCCTCTTTTCCCATTTATATTTTTCTGCACATTTTGAATCTGATTAAAATGGTGAATGCTTGTGTTAACAAATGCTTTGTATGCTTACATAATGGGGATGGCTCTCAGGCCGGATTTTCATTGTGATGATAACAGCCGATGAGGCTGGAAATCACAAGCCTCACTCCCAAACACCTCATTTCCCACTTTCATGTGGTTGGATGTCATAGAATCATCAAATGCTTATAGCATGGAAGGAAAGCATTCTGTCCATCATGTTTATGCCTGCACTCTACAAGAGCAGCCCAGCTTGTTCCACCTCTCATTTGGACTGTGCCTTGCTGCTAATAACCATATTTGTGAAACTTTGCAGTGAAGGCACTTGTTGGGTAAGACTCCTGACCTACCTTTTAAGAATAGCATATTCTGGAACTGTACAGTTACATAGAGCCACATTTGAACAGAGCTATGCAAATACTTGTGATTTTATAAAATGTTTATTTGTTGTACAGTATTGACCCTTTATAGTGAAATGTAACTTTCTATTTGAAATATCATTTTCCTGTTAATTTAGTAAATATGTTGTCTTGGTTTACAGTTTCTCCGCAATTAAATGGATGAGAATGTAACCAGGCCTGTGCAGTCAACACACTGAGTGTGCAAGTATGATTCATAGAGGCCATTGGCCAGGTGAAATCATTAATTGCTTCCATTGGGGTGGAAATTTGGCAGCCTTGGAGTGTGAAACACAAAACGTGCACATTAAATCTTGTAAGTGCAGGTTTTGCCTTTGAACAGTTTTCTCTGAACAGCCGAAGTTTCGAGTGTATATTCCAGATTTCCAGCATCTATAGTATTTTGTTTTTACACGGGCTTTTGAAGAAGGCCATGCCTCCATTATGAGCTCTGAGATATGGCACTTTATCCAAAGATGCCATGTTACTTTGGGAGTAGAATTCTGCCAGCAAGCCATCATGATCACCCCAACTCAAATAAAAGGCTCCTTTCTATGTCACAACCACGGCCTTGCATACTTACATTTCAGTGTGCAAATCTAGTAGCTGCAGACATTGCCTTACAGTGTTTGTTATGGAATGTGTCTGTGAATTGGAAACTTCAGATTCTGTTTCTATGTACCTAGGTCTCATTACGGTTGCTTAGCTAACATGACAAGG